GAGTCTCCTGCCTCAGCCTCCCAAGTAGCTGGGACCACAGGCGCCCACCACAATGCCCGGCCATTTTTTTGGTTGCAGCCATCACTGTTGTTTGGTGGGCCCGGGCTGGGGATTCGAACCCTCCACCTTAGGTGTATGTGGCTGGCGCCCTAGCCGCTTGAGCCACAGGCACTGAGCCAAATGTCTGTTGTTTTAAGGCACTACATTTGGGGGCATTCTATTACATGGCCACAAATCCAAACAGCAACCAGAGACAGGTGCAAAGGGTGTCCAGGTGCTCTGTCTTCAGGGACCAGTCTCCTCAGTGCACAAAGCCCTTCTAGGACTCCTGCCAGCCAGGTGCACATGGCAGGCACAGGTGTGTGGAGACTCATCACTGGAGGGGCGCTCAAGGCCAAGCAACTAAAAACAAGGCAGAAGCTTAGTGCCTGTGGCTCAAGTGGCTAAGGCACCAGCCACATACACTCAAGGTGGTGGGTTCGAATCCAGCCTGGGCCTGCCAAACAACAATGACAGCTGTAACTAAAAAATAGCCAGGCATTGTGGCGGGTGCCTCTGGTCCCAGCTACTCGGGAGGCTTAGGCAGGAGACTCACTTAAGCCCAGGAGTTGGAGGTTACTATGAGCTGTGATGCCAGAGTACTCTACCCAGGGTGACACCTTGAGGCTCCTGTCTCAAAAAAAAAAGAAACAAACAAAAAAAAAACCCTGAAGGACATGGGGAAGTGACAGAAGGAAGAGCTTCTGCCCACAGTATGGCCACAGAGAAAAGGAGACGGCTGAGCCTGGAGGGGCAGCACTGAGGAAGAGCCACCAGCCCAAGGTTTGTGTACAGAAAGCAGCAGGTAGATGGGTCTGGGAAATCTGTGGATGATGTGGGGCGGGGGCTTCTAGACCTGCTGCTGCCATCACATCCAGCACTAGACCCATTCAAGCATCTGGCAAGAACTGGAGGCCTGGCAGGGCCAGAGTGAGGGGCCGGAGAACTGACCCAGGCAGGCCCAGTTCAGGGGAGGTGGCTCTACTGCCAACCATGGTGATGACTGGGCAGCCAGCCCCCACAGTGCCGCCTCTCCTGGCCTTTTCTTCCTCTCCCCTGTGGAGAGCTCTGCCCAGAAAACTGCCCTGGAAAGCCACAGGCTCTGCTCTGCTCCCTCTGGACTGGCAGGCTCCTGGTGCTTTCCAGGCCCAGGACCCGCAGGGAGGCGCGGCTGCCACCACTGCTCACACTCCTGCCTCAGATTGGGCTGCTACTATTGCCAGTGACCTGTTAGACTTGACTCTCCCAGGCAGCTGCAGCAGGGTGCCCAGACCACAGACCCCCCGAGGCCACACCTGCAGCTTGGACGCCAGCGGGAAACCGTGGGAACTGCTCCTGGAGTTCCGTTCTGATCACTGTCACCCAGGAGGAGCCGGCTGGCAGCACCCAGATTTCAGCCTCATCTCTGCCCTGGGGGTGGTGACTCTTACAGTCCTTGCCCTGGCTCTGACCCAGTGTCCACAGACTTGCCCATATTGAGACGACAGACTCTACTAGGACAGACTTGACTGCACCCTGCTCCAGTGACAGGGAGGGCGTGGTCAGGGCCACACAGTGGTGCGGGAGCCCAGAGTTGGGTCCAGCTAGAGCCAGCTGTGGCGGTTCCCCATCCTACCAGCAGATGGCACTAGATGGCAGAGAAAGCAGCGAGAGGGGCTGGGGTCAGCAGAGCCAGAGACTGCCATCAGCTGCCACTGCCTGCAGGCCTGCTGGGAGAACAATGACTGCCTGTCACTGCCACAGCTGTCCCCCTGCTGGGAAGGCAAGGCCATGCTCCCGGGGAGCACAGGCGGGAAGTCAGGGAGAAGGGCAAGGGACCAGAAAGAGGCGGCAGCAGCTTCACTCCTCATTCCCTTCACCACACACTGCTGGCTCTGAGTTTAGAGTCAAAATGCCAGAGGAGGGAACCCCACCTGTCAGGGGGACTTTCAGCTGGGCACTCCCACCCTCAAGGTCCCCTCCCCCTGCAGCCAGGACTCTCACTCCCTGTGTTTCTGCTCCAACATGAACCAAACCTCTGGCGAAACACAATAAATGGGAATTACTACTAAAAGGAAAGAAAATCACATAAAGTAAGAACCCTGCCTTTCTACGATGAGATTCTCTGTGGGAGGGGTCAGCAGGCCTCTCATTGATGCCTCCCTGTTCCCGGGCTGGCAGGCAAGCCACCATCAGGGCTGCCCCTGGGGTTTACCCAGCAGGGTCCCAACTCAGTCCGCAGAGGCTGGGGCCTGGGCTCTGATGCTGTCCACACCTGGACTGCGATGCTGTCTATGGAACCCACAGTTGTGCCAACTGCTGCACAGGACCCAGCCCGTCTGGGTGCAGGTTAGCCAAGGAGGAATGGCAGTGAGTATGAACCTGGCTGCAGTCCTGTGACTGAGGCTTCTGGTTTCCTCACATGTGAATCAGGACAAGCAGTTCTGCTTCCTGGGCTCTTCTGGAACTTCAGTGAGACAGGGCACAGGAGGTGCCTGCCCTCCACCTTACTGCTGCGTCACACATTCACAACACCTTGATCCTGCTGCTTGTCATGAGCCAGTGCCTGGTACCCACCCTTCTGTGGCCTCATCAACGTGCTCCCCACAACAACGTCGTCACCCTGTGTCACCTGCTAAGCAGCCCAGGGGCCACTGCAAAGGAAGAACTCACGGGTTACAGGAGCCTGCTCCTCCTTCTCCTCGTCCCTGGGCAACTTCCTGAATTTAGAAAGGTCCGTTTGTAGCAGCCGGGAAACTGCCGCGTGGGTCAGGGATGCAGCAAGTGGCAGAGGGGCATTCCTAGGGGTGAGAGAGAAGTAAGGCCAGGGCCTCCCAGCAGGAGCCGGACTGGCACCCCTGCCCCAACTGTCAGTCCACAAGCTGCAGTGCCACACAGCAGGGTAGCCTCTGTCCTCGGAGAGCTGGGATGAGACCCACATGCAACACACTGAGGCAGACAGCGACATAACCCTCCAGGGCCCGATTTGGGCTAGGGGGCTGGAGTTGTCCCATCCCAGAGATGTGAGAGCTGTGTCCTCAGCATCAGAGCTCAGCAAACTGCCTGACATCCAAGCTGATGATGACTCCTGGTCCATGTGTCAGCCACATGGGGGGGTCGTCAGGCCAGCTGGCGACCCCCAAGGGCTAAGAGTTACAGGTTGAATTATGTCCCCCCAAAGCTCCTGTGCTGAAGTGTTAGCCCTCAGTACCTTAGAATGACCTTTTATTTGGAAACAGGATCACAGCAGATAGAATGAGTTATGATGAGGTCACACTGTAGTAGGGAGGCCCTACTCACATGTGATTGGTGTCCTCATAAAAAAGTGGAAATTCAGACAGACACACTGGGAGAATGTCATGTGAACATGAGGCAGAGATCCTCGATGAGCCCAAAAGCCAAGGAATGCCAAGAAGGACGGCCACGGCCACAAGAAGGAACCGGACCTGCCAATACCTGCATCTCAGACTTCAGGTCTCCAGAGCTGTGAGATAATAAATTTCTGTTTGTTATGCTGCCTGGTCTGCAGTCATGTGGATGGTGGCCCAGGAACTGACCCCAAGGTAGGGCCTGTGGGTACATGTCCAGCCCAGGGAGGGCTGTGCATGGCCCCAGGGTCCCTGGGCAGATCTAGCCATTGGGCACTGGGGCAAGGGGGCTCCAAGGCTGAGGTGGGCCAAGCTCCAGAGAAACAAGGAGCTACTGACTGTGATCTGTGCTGAAGAGGAATGAGGCATAATGGGATCTTTGAACTGGTATAGAGAGTAGGCTGAAGGGTGAGGCTGATGGGAGTTGGTGACAACTGTCTAGAGGAGAGAGATGGATGCCGGAGCTGGGCAGGGATGTGGTGATCAATATGATGGGACAGATGAGCGCTGCATCAGGGAAAGTCCATTGAGGGCTGGATGGAGGGAGGTGCAGGGTCAGCATCGAAGTTTCTGTTTTATGTAAACTGGGGGGGGGGGCAGTTGTGTAATTACCCCAGTGGGGACAGAGCTGGCTGGGTACGGGATAGTGATGGGTTCTGATTCCATGGTAAGCCTCGGGTTCCCCAGAGGCCAAGGGGCCTGTGGGGAGCCCGGGCAGATGGCCTGTGTGGAATGAAACAGGTAAGAGGCTAGAGCCCACAGGAATGCACCCACCTGGGAAGAAGGCCAGGCAGCTGCTGGAGAAGGGGTGGCCTCCCCAGAGCCACAGGGGACAGTTCTGAGAAGTGAGACTTAGGTGGCTGCTCCGAATGTCAGAGAACAGAGCTGAGGAGTGGAGGTGGTGTGGGTGGAGTGGGGAGGGAGGTCACTGCAGGCTGAAAGCACATGGAGCAGAGAAAATGTCAGCTGTGAGCTGGGGGCCTTTGGCAGGCCTGCAGTGTAGAAGGGAGCCAAGGGGCAGGTGGGGAGAGTTTTGGGGATGGAGATACTGAAGCCAGCTGTGGACAAGGAGGAGGACTGTGGGGAAGACTGTCCAGAACTCTGTGAACCTTTCTGTGCCTCCCCCACCCCTCTAGGCAGGCACTACATCTGGCTCAGACTCCATGCCTATGGGGAACCCAGGCAGACCCTTCTTGGCCCAGGTGTCCTTACAGCCTCTGGGATGCATCCTGACCCCCATAGTCTGCTTCTCATCCAGTGAGACCCCTTGGAAGCTGGGTGACATACATTTACCCTGTGTGCCTATCCCTGCTGGTGGGAGGCATGCCTGGGGGCCGCTGGATGACTCTGCTGGGCTGACGCTCCTGGCATTAACTGGAAGGCACCAGCTCACAACAGCCTGGGCCAATGTGTCATGTCCTTCAGGGACTTGGCATCCCAGAAGTCTACCAATGATCTTAGGAATCTACTGGGGTTTCTAATACTTTAAAATGAAAGAGTGACTCAGGGGAGAAGTCTCTGGAACTGCCTCTGAAAAACAACCATCCTGGACAGGAGGAATAAACTCCTCTGCTATTCTGGGGTTTCCTGACAACTGCTGGGTTTTCCTTTTTCACAGCAGCAGAAGGGACATCTGTTTCCCCTCTGTCCTGGTGAGGTCATGTTTCGGCTTCCTGCCCATCCCACAACTGCTGCTGGGGACAGGAAGGTGGCCTCCAGCCGCGGGGACTCAGACAATGCCTGGCCATGGGCCACCAGCATCCCCTTCCTGGACACAGCTGCTGACTCACTCAAGAGCCCTGGACACACCCTGCACTCTCTCAGTCCTGAGTCACTGCACTGTGCAAGTCAACCCTAACTCTGGTCCCTGCAGGGTGGGGCTCTGAAACATTGACAGAAGATGCTCCAGGGAACAGGCTGAGGTGTGTTTGAAGTCCAGGTACCTGAGAAACCAGAAATGCTGCTCCTGCCCGTATGAGAGGTTACAAGGAGTTTATGGTCTAGTGCAGAGATAAAAAGGCACATACGCAGCAGGGTAAGGAAGGTATGCACCACCCGAGGCCCTGAAGATAGGATAGGAGACTGCCCTCAGCAAGAGGGGAGGCGGGACATCAAAGCAGCCCATGCGTGAGCTGAGTGATCAGACTTCTGACAGTCAGAAAGGAAGCCACTCAGACTCTGCAAAGGGGCCCATGGGCCAGTGACCCCCAAAGCCCAAACCTGGGCTGTGGGGATGCGCCAAAGAGCACCGAGGCATGCGTGAGTGTGTGCGTGTACAGGTGAGCGCGCATGAACAGTTGGATGAGATGCAGACAATGTGTGAGGTTCAAGCCCCAAGGGATGACCACACATACAACCAACCATGTCTGTATGTGAAATAAAATGCTAGAAAAGAACAAAAACAAAATAAATCCAGGAAGGGGTGGGGCGCGGAGGCTCACGCCTGTAATCTTGCACTCTGGGAAGCCGAGGAGGGTGGATTGCCTGAGCTCACAGGTTGGAGACCAGCCTGAGCCAGAGTGAGACCTCTAAAAATAGCCAGATGTGGTGGCAGGCGCTGGTAGTCCCGGCTACTTGGGAGGCTGAGACCAGAGAATCGCTTGAGCCCAGGAGTTTGAGGTTGTTGTAAGTTGTGATGCCACGGCACTCTACTGAGGGCGACAAAGTGACACTGTCTCCAAAGAAAGAAAGAAAGAAAGAAATCCAGGAAGATGGCTATGAAACATAAGACCTTAAAGTCCTCAATTTTATCACACATTCATGGAGTGTTAAGGTAGGTTCCAAGACTAAAGAGGATGTGGGGAGCTGGTGTCCTCTCCAGCTTCAGACCCTTCCCACTCACAACCATCACTGACCATCAACAGCCACCTCAGACAAGTCTCAGCACTCCCTCCTCATAACTAAAACCCGCTGGCCCCAGGCCTCTATCCAGGCCAGTCACCTGCTGCTGACCAGTTACTTCTATCCAGGATTCCCCGTGTTTCTCCCCTTCCCTGGGAACCGAAGGCTCAGGCTGTGCCGTTTCCTGGCCATGCCTCTTGGAGGCTGGCATTGTGGCTTGATCCTCCTCTGCTCCTGTGACCCCTACTCAGGCCCAGTGATCCCCTCAGCTCTGTTGTCCCCAGGACAGGTTCTCCATCTGGTCCCCAGCATGGGCTGGCACTGTAGTGGGTCTACTCACTTGCCCACACGTGGGTCATGGTGTACTGGCCCTCTTGGGCCTACCTTTCCTCCCCACAGTGCCTGAGCTCCCAGGGTGGTGATGGCCATCTCCACAGGAGGTCCACAGCTGCAGATCTCCCTCCCGGACCCCCTGGTCCCCAGGGAGTTCTGCCCACTCCTCTCAAGAAGGCTGAACCCTGGGACCTCCTATATCCAGACGCCCCAAAAGGGTGCTCTGCTCTGCCCTCAGAGGCCAGTTTGCTTTATGTCACTTTCCTAATTTTATTTTATTTATTTTTATGGTGATAGAGTCTCACTCTGTCACCCAGGGTGGAGCTGCGTATCATCCAGCTCAATGCAGCCTTCAACTCCTGGGCTCAAGTGATCCTCCTGCCCCAGCCTCCCAAAGCAGTGGGATTAAAGGTGCCTGCCACCATGCCTGGCCCCACTTGCCTTTAAAATGTTTCTTCAAACAAAGTAACGATGTCCCTCACATGTGCCCTGGTAGTCACTGGGTTTTTGTTTCCTCCTTGAGTTCTGTGGGGGAGGCCAGGAGGACATGGCCCTAGACCACCACCCATGCTCAGGGATGTTGGGTTCTACACTGCATGGGGTGAGCTGCCTCTGCTGGGCCTTCACAGGGCAGGCAAGGAGGCAGCTGATTTGCCATTAGGGGCATGGGAAGTTCATGCTCAGGGGACACAAAGATGGAGGCTGTTGGGGGGAAGCCAGGGCCAAGGGCACATCATGGCTTCAGGGGACTTGCAGATGCCTCAAGGATGATGCTGGGACTAGGGACCCTGGGCACGGAGGGGGACTACTGGGTTTCCAGGAATGCGGCACAGCTTACCAGGCCCCTGGCCTCTGTGAGCCACCTCCGAGGCAGACAGAACAGCCTGACCCCAAACAAGCCAGGGTCTTTTTTTTTTTTTTTTTTTAAAGACCTGGGTAGAATGCCATGGCATCATAGTTCACAGCAACCTCAAACTCTTGGGCTCAAATGATACTCTTGCCTCAGCCTCCTGAGTAGCTGGAACTACGGGTGCCCACCACAATGCTCAGCTAATTTTTCTGGGTTTTGTAGTGACCAGGTCTTGCTCTTGCTCAGGTTGCTCTTGAACTCCTGAGGTCAAGGGATCCTCTGGCCTTAGCCTCCCAGAGTGTTGGGCTTATAGACATGAGCCACCATGCCCGGCTCCCAGTCAGGGTCTTCTGAAGAAGGGACCTTGAACGCAGTCTGCTTGCATACAACTACTCTTTATCTGCCCCAAATCTAACTAGCTGGTTGCATCATCTCTCTGTTCCTCCACTCCCTCTCCTGTACACGAGGGGCAGCACCAGCTACCTCTCAGATCGTGGTGCCTGGGCTAGGTAGCAATGCCCTGACTGCAAAGCCTTGGGCTAGCCTCAACCCACTGACCTCTGCCTTGATTCACGCCATGGAATAGAATCAGGACCTATAACGCATTATATTGTGCCCCAAAGAGACACTGACGTCCCCATTCCCAGAGGCCCACGATGTGACTTCATCTGGAATGAGAGGCCTTGTCAATGCAGTTAGGTCCAGATGAGGTCATACTGTGGCAGGGCCAGTCCTGAGGGGGGAGTGACAGACACAGGGGAGGAGAGCCCTGAAGGTGCAGAGGCTCAGAGAGAGGCCACGTGAGGCGAGGGTGAGATGGGAAGGACAGGTCTACAAGCTCGGAACACCAGGAAGTTGGCACCAGACACTAAAAGAAAAGGCTGGGCAGATGCTCCCCGTGGGCCCTACCAACACTTTGATCTCAGACTTCTGGCTTCCAGAACTGTCAGAGAACAGATTCCTGCTGTTTTAAGTGGCCAGTCTATGGTACTTTGTTACAGCAGCCCAGGAAGACCACGGGATGGCACCACAAGAGGGATGCAGCCCAGGAAGACCACAGGATGGCACCACGAGAGGGATGGCAGTGCAGTGGAGGCCTGCACCGGGCAGACACCCACCCCTCACGCTGCCCCTGTGAGGACGCACAGGCCTACCTGCTGCCCAGGAAGCCCATTGCCAGCTCAGCCAGCTCAGCCTCCACCTCATCCTGGCTAAACACCGTCCCTGGGGCCTTCCATGGCACAGGGCTCTCCGGGCTCAGTGGAGCTGGGAAGTCTTGCAAGAGTGTGTCCAGGAAGCCCTGGGGGTCCTCTGTGTCACAGGCCATGCCCAGAGCATCCCAGGAGCTCACAGCCTGGGTGAGAGGCTCGCGTCAGTCTTCACTCTGGGGAGAGACATCCATCAGCAAAATCATAAGGCGACAGACACGAAGTGATGTGGACACAGGCGCCCTGCCCTGCCCCCAACCTGCCAGCACTGACAAAATCACAGGGCATCAGGCATGCAGTGACATGGACACAGGTGCCCTGCCCTGACACCCACCTGCCAGCATCAGCAGCAGGTGCTGCTCCAAGCCCTGGGCTGCATGTGCAGGGGACACAATTTAGTGGGGTGACAACTCCAGCTGCTATGCTGACAAGGGTCCAAGTGGGGACATGTGGGCACCCAGAGATGTAGTCTCAGGAGATGGCAGCAGGCCCAGAAGCTGTGTGGACATCTTAGAGAAGGGACAGAGAGGATATATTCCTGGTAGAGGTGGCTGGTGTGGCTACAGCCAGGCAAGACAGGGACACTGGGGCCAGGCACTGAGGCAGGGAAGAGGTTCCACCTGATCTTGGGCCCTGGCAGCCAAGAGAGCTCTGGGCTGAGGGGGTGATGTCACCGGGGCTGTAAGCCTGGCTGTAAGCTGCAGCAGTGGTAGAGGGGAGGGAAGAGAAGGTCCAGTGTACAGGAGGGGCTGGTTCACGACTGTATGGGAGACATATCAGAGGGAAAGCAGGAAGGGCTCCCCAGAGGCTGCCTGGCTGCCCAAGAGGTGGTCAGGAGAGAAGTAGAGGCCAACCTGGGACAGACAGGCAGCCTTCTGTAGTGTGGTTAGGGCTCTCAAATGCCAATACAAGTTGAGTTATGAGCTTAGAATGTCTTAAGCCTGCTAAGCCCTGGCTGAAAGGGGGTGCCATGGACGTCCCAGGCTGCTGACCCCACAGTGGGTGGAGGACATGGGCTTTTCCTCCCAGTCTTTAGGAATGCTGCAGGCTGACTAGCTGCCCAGCCCCATGCATTGTCCCTACACACCAAGAGCCAGGATGAGCCCCCCATTTCACAGATGAGAACGCCAAGCTTGGAGAGGGGCAGCCCCTCACTGTGGCCTTAGGACTGGGGACAGGGCCCAGGAGGGATTCTGATCCCTAAGGCAGTTACCAGCCCACCTTGTTCCTCCTTCATCTGAAAGAGGCATGTGGTGCCCCAGGGCCTCCTCCCACGGGGGTGGGGGCTGTGGGCTAGGGTGAAGGTTGGGAGGGGCTCCAAATCCTGTCTTCTCCTAGCTCAGAAGCCTCAACCTGTCTGCACTCACACCTCTGCATGCTGGACCTGGTCCCTTTCTCCCCAACCTGGTGGCCCTCACTCAGCCCCTTCAGACCCAAACAGTCCTAGAGTGGCTCCCTTCTTTCCACCACCACCCAGGGGTATCACCTGCAGGTCCCCCTTCCTACCACAGGCACCTGAGCACACCTGAGTGCCCTGGGCACCACCTCCTCGCTGGCACCAGCTCGGTAGTAGCTCAGTACTGGCTCTTCTCTGTCCTGCGCCCTCCAACCCCCTCCTGGACCCTTCCCACAAGGACATCCCCAGGGGCTTCCTCTAACATGCAGCCTGGGAATTTCTTCACAGTGACCACTGGGAGAGATCCCAAACAGGGTTCCTCTAAGGTGAAGACTGACATGAGTCCCAGGAGTACCCCAAGTTCTAGGAGGGAGAATTTAGGGGGCAGCTTCACTGCCCAAGGCCTTCCAGTGTCTGATGGCTGAACAGAGAGGACAGGACCAGAAAAGCTATACAGAGAATCTTCCAGAACCATCAGTCTTAGACTATCCATGACTGGGCCTCCAAACTTTGCCTACAGGGTGGCTGCAGGCAGGGGTCTGAAGGGGAAGGATGAAGGGAACGTATGGCCCACACAGGACTGTATTGATGGAGAATTACTAACCTGGAACAAGCCTTCTGGAAGCACTGAGATAAAATCACAAAAGAGGACAAGGGGCGGAGAGAGTGAGTCTGAACATGGGGTTACATTTGTACTCAGAGAAGGGTCTGGAGCAAAGGGCACAGGTCTTCCTTCAGAGACAGCAGGTGAAAACTATTTTAAGCAGATATATACAAATAAAATACAGATAGTATAGAAATAGGGGCACTTGTAATGGAAGGTTATGGGGATTCATTGTTATCCTTCACTCATAAAAAGCAAACAAAATGCAACCCAGGTTACAAAAGACACCAGGTAAAAGGATAAAGAAGGTCAAACAAATAAGGAAAACTCAGCTGAGCAGAGCAGGAGGGGCACTTAGTAGGACAGAGAAGTGCACAGAGGCAGGAGGTGACAAGGATGGCCGGGGAGGGGCAGGGCCTACCAGACTCACTGCCCAGAAGAGAAAACAAGGAGATGGCACTAAGCTTAGCTACCCTTGAGCAGGTAAAAGGCCAAGTCCTCCTCCTCTGCCTGTGAACTGCTTGGGCCTCCTCCCACTGAGCTGCCCCCAGCACCAGGGGCCTTAGCTTTGGGAAATGCTGTCTGGCTCCCTCACCATTCTAAAGGATCAGGATGCTCAGAAATCTCAGGCCATACAAAACATGTTCATGTGAATTTATGATCAGGATCCAAATGAAAGGAGACAAGTTCAACCCCAAGAATGCCCAGAGGGTTCCAGGTGGAGAAACCCATGTCTGTGGCCTAAAGCCCCACCTTCAAGCACAGAATTCCAAACCTTTCACCTTCAATCCTGGTAATATCTGCTGACATTTAGGAATGCAGGTGGCTCCTCCACACCTCCTGGCCGCCTTAGGGGGCTTCCCCTCCAATCTGGAGCCCCTTCCCCCAACCTGTCTGTCTCCATTGGGGTTGGCAGTCCCTCCCCTCTGCACTGAAGCACTACAGACCCCGACATGCACCCTGTGCCCACCACCCTGAGCCTGGCTAGGGCCTTGATAGCATCTGCACCACACACGCTGAGCAGCCGAGGGCCTGACAGTGCTTGTGGGCGGGCTCCGCCCGCCTCTGCGGAGGGGAGAGGCTGGTCTGCTTTCAAGGTCTGTGCCAAGTGCCCACTCTTGCTAGAAAGGCAGGGTGCCCAGAGCCATCCTGCCTGCTGGGGACCGAGCAGGCTCATTTCTGCCTCCCGACCTACAGTGAGGCGGGGAAGAAACTGGGACACAGCTTTCCTTCCCTGTATAGAACGGGAATAACTTCCTTCCTTGTCCTTCCTTTTTTCCAATAAAGTCCTGACTCTGATATGTGCACATGGATATCAGGGAGAGGGAGGAGCAGGTGGGAGCAATCCTAACCCCAGGGGGAAGAGAGATAGCCGTGGGAGTGCCCCATAGGCAGGGGACAGTGCTGGGGTTTGGGTTCTTGTGGGAAGCTGTGGTGGGCAGCTGGCAAACTGTGGCAGGTGGGGATTCAGGGAGAAATGGAGCTGGGAAAGGACCAGAGGGTTTGACTGGGCACACCAGTGATGGGCTCAGGGCTGCAGGGATACATGTATGAGTCTTTAGACATCACCAAGGGCCCAGAGTGGGGATGGGAGGGACCCTGGGCTCCCAACCTCCAGTGCTGCCTGCCTTGACTGGTCTGGCCAACTGTGACCAGAGGTTAGCTGCCCCCTAGTGCTCCTCACTGAGGGGGCTGCAAAAGTGGGACTAATGGGGTGGTACCAGCTGTCACTCGCCACTGCTCTGAACACCGCTTCCTCTTTTAACTGTCCAACAACCCTGCTGTTGTTGTCTCCACTTTATAGGGCAGGCTGCAGAGGAAGGGCTAAGGCACTTGCCCAAAGTCCCTGGGTAGGATTCTCGCTGGGGAATCTGGGCCCTAACTGGGACCAACATCCTAGAGAGTCCTTCTGACCCCTTCCTATCCCTGTCTCACTCCTCAGTAGCTGCCAACCTCAAGCTTCAGGTCTCTTATGGCTCCTTCTATTTCTGTACTCACCACCCTCTCCTCCTTGCCCATGCTAACAGCTAACACTGTGCAGGCTCCTGGCTCCTCTGCTGGCTGTGCTGTGGCTCAGCAGCCCCTCTTCCATGCTGCCCTCTGAGGTCTCCTGCATCCTTCCAGGCTCTACTGAAATCTCGCCACCTTTGGATCCAGCATGCTGTCTTCCAAGTGTCTGTGGCACTTTTGCTAACATCCGACTTAAAAAAGTTTTATTTTTATAATTCGGAATATTTATTTTCCTCTAGTGTACCAGTTTTGACTCATAGGCTCAACCAATACATAGTTTTACAAATGCAGTTTTCCAGGTGGTAGAGACAAAACACTTGTGTCTTCTATAACTTCAGAATCCAGGTAATGAAAAAAACAGCAGTCTAATCACACTTCCTTGTAAAAGGAACTGCATCATTAGTGTTATGTGGTATTATCATATTAACTGTTAGCATTTTTTCCCTACCAATGAAGAAATTTATTTTTTTGAAATAACCACTGAGTATAGTTTGGTGCAATTCCTTCTAGATCTTTTCCTACCTATGTAAGTTTTTTACTGTGGCAAAACATATGGAACATAACCTGTATCCCTTTGTTTTTTTAAAGACAGAGTTTCACTCTGTTGCCCTGGGTAGGGTGCTGTGGCATCGCAGTTCACAGCAACCTCAAACTCTTGGGCTCAAGTGATCCACTTGCCTCAGCCTCCTGAAGAGCTAGGAGTACAGGCACCCGCCATTTACCCAGCTAAGTTTTCTATTTTTGGCAGAGATGGGGTCTCTACTGACTCACTCTTGCTCAGGCTGCTCTCTAACTCCTGAGCTCAAATGGCACCTTTTAACCAGTTCTCGGCACTAAGCATGTTCAGCTGTGGTGCAACCACCATATCTCTTTTCACAGGCCTGACTTTCTCAATACAGTGTCAGCTCCCGAGGTCATGGAGCCCACCCTAGCCCTTTGGGCATAGCAGGTGGTAAATGTAATGGCAGAGGGAAGGGTCACTAGTGGGGGGGCTGAGGCCTGGCACCTTTCAAGAGAAAGCTACACCATCCACAAAGCACAGTGGGAGGCAGGTCATAAAGACACATGGTTTGCTTCAGGAGCTCTCCCAAAGGAATCCCACAAATGTAACTTGCCTGGAGGTTCACAGCTTTCAAAGCATACTCATCTTGTTTACCTCTCACAACTATGCTGAGAAGGCCACACTGCAATGAAGAAATAGGCTCCAGGAGTCAGGTGAGAACCCAAGGTGGGAGGTGGCAAAGTAGGACTCAACAGGGGTCTTCAGATACCCAGTGCCTTGGCCACTTTTACCTGAGAGGCTGGAGGGAAAGAGTCAATTCTGACCACAGGACAGAAATAAGAATAAAAGTCAGATAAGACTGAAGATGGCAGCTTGGTGCCTGTGGCTCAAGTGGCTAAGGTGCCAGCCACAGACACCTAAGGTGGGAGCGGGTTTGAATCCAGCCCGGGCCCACCAAACAACAATGAAGGCTGCAACCAAAAAAAATAGCCGGGTGTTGTGGTGGGCGCCTGTGGTCCCAGCTACTTGGGAGGCTGAGGCAGGAGACTCGCTTGAGCCCAGGAGTTGGAGGTTACTGTGAGCTGTGATGCCACAACACTCTACCCATGGGGACAGCTTGAGGCTCTGTCTCAAAAAAAAAAAAAAAAAAAAGGACTGAAGATGGCCTCTTTGTGCCAGCTGGCCTCACATTCTATCCCCCATGGTGGAAGCACAGCTGGGGCCACAGAACTTGGCCCAGGGAACACCATCAGAACATGTGTCACTCAGTCCCAAGGGTGGAAGGCTTTAGGCTTCAGAGGAGTCCACCACCATCCACTGGGCCCCAGAGTGTGCTCAATGCTCTGTGCTCAAATCCCTGCCTCTCAGTGCACAGACGGTTAAGGGGCTTGCCTGCAGCTGCAGTGGTGGGGTGAGGCCTGCAGCCTGAGGCTCTCTCTCACACACCTTCTGCTCAAGCAGCCACAGCCCAAGCGCTGGCTGTAACTAAGACACTCGAATACATGGGGAGCAATGGGGCAGGGGCATTCAGACAGACATGTGATGAAGCTGCAGGGGCTGGTCGGATGGGGAACAGGGCAGTGGGCCTGGCCCAGATGCTCCTGGGAGGTGGGATGGGGTGAGAAGGGCCGGATGTCAGGAAATGGGGGAGCGTCATTCCTCAATATTCCCTTCTGCCTCACAGCCCCCAGTCCCCACCTGACCCTCGTCTCAGCCACACCCCCGTCAGCCCAACAGACCCCCGATTCTCGGCCACTGGCTTCCCAAACCCCCATCCCCGGCCTCGGGTTCCTCAGGTCCCTGGCAACTACCCCCGCCTCAAGCCTCCTCATTCCACTCCTGCGCGCTTGGGGTTCCCCCAGCCTCTTCTCAGCTTCCTTGCCTCCCCAGCTCCCCTATCCCGCCCCTCCGGGGTCCTCACCCCTTTTCCCCACTGTGCGCCTTGCGCCCCCACCTGACTCTCACTCCGGCCCAGTCGGCGTCCCAAGCCCGCCCCCCGGGCTTCCTCACCCCCGGGTCCCCGCGAGCCTCACCTGCCACCCCGCCGCTCGGCGCCCAGCGAGCCTCTCCGCCCGTCCCCGCCCACTTCCCGTCCCCGAGCGCCGCGCAGGCGTAGTCGGACCTCCAGGAGGGCGGGGCCGGGCCTCTGCTGCCCCCTGGAGGCCTCGCGGCCGGTGACTGCGACCCTTTCATTTCAAAGGGACAGTGGTGTGTCACCTGCTCCGCAGCTTATTAGTCAGTGCTTCATTTCTCCAGCCAGGGGCGGGTGGCTCCATGGCGGAAAGCCATCCCTATCTCACAGCGCCCAGAAATTAGGCAGCTTGGTCTGTCAGCAGCTGGTACCAGGCTGGCCCACCCATCAAGGCAGGACAGGGGCTACTGTTGTCCACAAAGTTAGAGGCTTAAAACCACACAGATTTATTATCTTACAGTTCTGTAAGTTACGAGTCTGCACGGTCTTAATGGGCTAAGATCCAGGTGTGAGCAGGGTGGGTCCGTTCTGGGGATTCTAAGGGAGAAACTATTCCTTTGCCTTTTCCAGTTTCTGAAGGGCACTTGCATTCTTTGCCTCATGGCCAGTTCCTCCATCTTCAAAGCCAGGAACAACTGATGGAGGCCTTCTGCTGCCATCTCTCTGGTTCCCACTGCTTCCTTCTGCTGCTTTTAAAGACCCTGTGATGACACCAGTCCAGATAATCCTGGATAATCTCCTTATTTAAAGTCAGTTGATTAGCATCCTTATTCCCTTGCCAGATAATTTAACATTGGTTACAGATTCTGAGGATTAGGACATGGACATCTTTATGGGGCCATTTATCTGCCACCACAGAGGCTTACGAAAATATTTTTCTTTTAAACCCAGAATAAACTTTTAAGCCAAAAATGTTTCAATATGTAATAATATGTTCATCTTTATACGAATGCAGTTGTAAAGTATAATTTAAAATATTTCCTGGCTGGGGGCCTGTAATAGTTCACGCCTGTAATCCTAGCACTTTGGGAGGTCAAGGCAAGAGAATCAATCACTTGAGGGCAGGAGTTCAACACCAGCCTGAACAAGAGCAAGACCGGGCCTCTACTAAAAATAGAAAAATTAGCCAGGAATAGTGGAGGGTTCCTGTAGTCCAAATCTCTTGGGAGGCTGAGGCAGGAGAATGGCTTGAACCCTGGAATTTGAGGTTGCAGTGAACTATGATGTAGCCTGGGAGACAGAATAAGACTCTGTCTCAAAAAAAATTTTTTTTTTCTTTTTTATGAAGAACAGGCACTCAGAAGTCCTACTGTGGCCGTCTACCTGACCGTCAGGTCCACACAACAGCCTGTGTCCTTCCCAGGAATTAATGCCTCTGTGACACTTCACTAACAGGAGAGTTTTGGTGGGGCCAGAAACCTGGAGAACTAGCAGCTAGGGTAATTGAAAGGGAAACTTTGGGGGTGGGCATGGGTCTGCAAGGCAGGGGAAGCGGGACGTGTAGCAATCATGACGAATCCCACACTCCTGCTCATCCCTTCCTACATCCCTGTCAGGGCAGTGACCCTGAGCAAGGCTTGAGGCTACTTCTTTTTTTTTTTTTTT